TCTGGATCGGTGTGACGGTGTGACGAGGTGATGAGGGAACGGACAGGCGGATCTGGATCCGGTGCGACGAGGTGATGAGGGAGCGGACAGGCGGATCTGGATCCGGTGCGACGAGGTGATGAGGGAATGGACAGGCGGATCTGGATCCCGTGTGACGAGGTGATGAGGGAACGGGCAGGCGGGAGTGCAGACACGTTACAACCAGCTGAGCATACACAATGCAATGTGGATGATCTATTCCTGGAACCTGACCAGCCCCATCCTCTGTAATTACATTGTTATTACACAACAGGGAGGAATCCTCCTCAGGCTCCAACGATACCCATACCTCCCAATGTACGGAAATGAGGGGGGACTGGGGGGGGCGGGGTGTAGAAGAAAGTATGGTGGCAGAGGACAAACCCCCTGCCACATCAACAGATAAGCAGGCTAAATCATTTGGGTTTTTTTGGTGGGGGGGGGGGTTCAGCTGTTGCAATGTATAAGATTTGAAGGCTCCTAGAGGAGAATGAGGCAGAAAATGGCAGTGGGAGGGGCTTAAAACTTAAATCTAAAAACAGAGTGCCGGGGGTCAGCAGTATGTAATGTACAGAGGGAAGGGTGTCAGCAGTATGTAATGTACAGAGGGAAGGATAACAGCAGTATGTAATGTACAGAGCACGGGAGGTCAGCAGTATGTAATGTACAGAGTGCCAGGGGTCAGCAGTATGTAATGTACAGAGTGCCAGGGGTCAGCAGTATGTAATGTACAGAGCGCGGGAGGTCAGCAGTATGTAATGTACAGAGTGCCAGGGGTCAGCAGTATGTAATGTACAGAGCGCGGGGGGTCAGCAGTATGTAATGTACAGAGTGCCGGGGGTCAGCAGTATATGTAATGTACAGAGGGAAGGGTGTCAGCAGAATGTAATGTACAGAGCACGGGGGGTCAGCAGTATGTAATGTACAGAGGGAAGGGTGTCAGCAGTATGTAATGTACAGAGCACGGGGGGGTCAGCAGTATGTAATGTACAGAGCACCGGGGGGTCAGCAGTATGTAATGTACAGAGCACGGGGGGGTCAGCAGTATGTAATGTACAGAGCACCGGGGGTCAGCAGTATGTAATGTACAGAGCACCGGGGGTCAGCAGTATGTAATGTACAGAGTGCCGGGGGGCAGCAGTATGTAATGTACAGAGGGAAGGGTGTCAGCAGTATGTAATGTACAGAGTGCCGGGGGGCAGCAGTATGTAATGTACAGAGTGCTGGGGGGGGGTCAGCAGTATGTAATGTACAGAGTGCCGGGGGGTCAGCAGTATGTAATGTACAGAGTGCCAGGGGTCAGCAGTATGTAATATACAGAGGGAAGGTGGTCAGCAGTATGTAATGTACAGAGCGCGGGGGTCAGCAGTATGTAAATGTACAGAGTGCCAGGGGTCAGCAGTATGTAATGCACAGAGCGCGGAGGTCAGCAGTATATAATGTACATAGTGCGGGGGGTCAGCAGTATGTAATGTACAGAGCACGGAGGTCAGCACTATGTAATGTACAGAGTGCGGGGGGTCAGCAGTATCCAAAGTACAGAGCGCGAAGGTCAGCAGTATGTAAAGTACAGAGCGCGAAGGTCAGCAGTATGTATTGTACAGAGCACGGGGTCAGCAGTATGTAATGTACAGAGTGCGGAGGTCAGCACTATGTAATGTACAGAGTGCAGGGGGTCAGCAGTATGTAATGTACAGAGTGCGGGGGGTCAGCAGTATGTAAAGTACAGAGCGCGAAGGTCAGCAGTATGTAATGTACAGAGCGCGGGGGTCAGCAGTATGTAATTTACAGAGTGCGTGGGTCAAATGTGTGTAATTTACAGACTGTAGTAGTCAGCTGTATGTAATGTACAGACTGTGGGGGGGGGGGTAGTTGATCTAATGTACAGAGTGCGGGGGTCAGCAGTATGTAATGTACAGAACACAGGGGTCAGCAGTATGTAATTTACAGGGTGCAGGGGTCAAATGTCTGTAATATACAGACTGTGGGGGGGGGGGGGGGGCAGGTGATGTAATGTACAGAGGGAAGGGGTCAACAGTATGTAATGTACAGAGCATGGGGGTCAGCTGTATGTAATTTACAGACTGTGGGGGGGGGGGGGGGCAGGTGATCTAATGTACAAGTATATGCAATGCTTAAAAAGGCTTAAAAATGACGTCTAAAGCAGAGTGCCGGGCTCAGCAGCATGTAATGTACAGGGTGTAATGGTCAAGTGATGTATTTGAGAGGGTGCAGGGGTCAGGGCAGATGCATGTAATGTACAGAGTGCAAGGGCCAGGTGCATGTAATGTACAGAGTGCAAGGGCCAGGTGCATGTAATGTACAGAGTGCAAGGGTCAGGAGTGGGTAACACAGAGTGCAGGGGTCAGATGTATGTAGTATACAAACTACTGGTGGTCAGTTGATGTAATGTACAGAGTGCAGGAATCAGGTGAATGTAATATACAGTCTGTAGGGCTCAGAAATGGGTAACACAGAGTGCAGGGGTCAGATGTGTGTAATGTACAATACACACACACACACGCACAATACACAATACACACACACATACAAATACGCACACACACACACACGCAAAACACACACACAATACACACACCACACACACACACCAATACACCACACACCACACACACACCCACAAAAACACACACCCCACACACAATACACACCCCACACACACACACAATACACACACACACACACAATACACACACCACAAACAATACACAAATACACACACACGCACGCGCACACACAATACACACACCACACACACACACAAACACACACACACACACACACACAAACACGCCACACCCACACACACAACAAACACACACACACACACACAATACACACGCACAACACACACACACAAACACACCACACACACAATACACACCACACACACACACAATACACACGCACGCGCACACACACAATACACACAACACACACACAATACACACACACACACACAATACACACACACAATACACACGCACACAACACACACGCACACACACAATACACACACACACACACACAATACACACACACAATACACACGCACACAATACACACGCACACAATACACACCACACAACACACACACAATACACACACACAATACACATGCACACACACCTCTTGCCGCCGGTATAGAAATATGTTGAGCAGACACAGGCAGCTGGCAGCAAAGTAACGAAAGCATTGGGCCGCGGGGCACTTGGCGAGAGATGTGGGACTCATATCCTTGGTGTCTGCTTAGATGTCCATGTGGCTGACATGCTGGTGGGGTTTGGACCCCCTTGACCCCCCCTCGGCAGACCACAAACAATACACAACAACGACTGACTTTTCCCACAAGAGCTTTTTCTCCTCTTATTTTTCTATAGATTGGATTTTCAAAATATAAATTCCAATAATGTACAAGTTGGAGGAAAGGTTCAGTGTAATTATAAAACTTTTGGTAGTTAAAGGCCAACTCCAGGCTCTGCAATTCCCCTCCCCCCCTTCAGGGTGCCCCCTTCTTTCCGTCCTGAAGGCCAGTCCTGGGGTGCCACAGGATCCTCTTCCTCTTTGTCTCTTCTATGGGTTGGTTGGTCCTTACTGACTAAATCAGCACCGCTCCCGGCTCTAGTGATGGCGACGCTCCCTCAGGAGGCGGGTCCATGACACTCAGCAGTAGAATCCTCAGTCCTCCGGGGTCAGGGATGCTGGGTGTCATTCGATCCAGAAGACCGAGGCCAGCTTGTGGTGAAATAGAGGTACTGCAGATGGGGGTGTTTGCATACGAAAATCAACAATAACCTGCTTGGAATTCTAACTCTTCCCCCTGGTTCTGCAAAAAGTGTTTTGTTGCAGTCTGTGTCCCTACTGGAGAGATTTTCCATTACTTTTCCTGCCGACAGGAAGTGAGGAAATTCTAACTAGTGGGGACACAGACTATAAATAAAAAGCTAACACGAGTTCTAACCCCTACTTCAATCTTCTTTAGAATTACCAAAATTTTGTAACTCAAACAATCCATTCGAGTATTATCCAATCAAGCAGGTCTTCACACTACATAGTTGATGGTAGATCTCAATGGAGGTTGTATACTGTGTGGTCATATTAAGGATCAGCCTATGGTAAGGGCTCAGCACATTTACAGGTCGACTTTTCACTTTTTTCAGCATCACCCCCACAACACCGTTCTCATCGACATACCTTATTGTAGGTCCAGTGATATCATCACTGGGTCCCTGTGCCTCTCTATGCTATATAGACAGATCATGGTTTAGGGAGGGGCTAGTAGGGGGCTGTACATAGCTTTCTGAAAACATCACAGCACCCCCCCCCCTCTTATCAAGAGCCTTTAGCCTTGATGCAAGAAGGGGGCTGGCTCTTGGGAGGAGTTATGCAAATATAGCTGGGTCTCTGTGCTTCTTTATGCAATAGGGACAGATTACAGCTGGTGGGAGGGGCCAGCAAGGTGCTGTACATGCCAGGGGGCTGGTTCTTGGGAGGAGTTATGCAAATTTCAAAATGCATTGATGGGCAGGTGTCAGTCTGGAGGAGTGGGCGTTCCTAGACAGGTTGCATTTGCATACAGATGGCCCTAAGAACATCCACGAGTGATGCTGAACTTCCATTATTGTAACTGAAATCCAATGAAAGGGCGGAGCCAGGGACGTCCTCCAGCCAGGAAATGAGGCGGAGCTCTATCTGACGTGCTGCAGCTTCTAATGCACATTGGGAGAAGCTCACAGTGTGCAGTGAAATCAGAGTAAGCCATTTCAGTCCAGGAGAGGAGTTGGTACACCTGTGCAAGACTGAAGGGGAGTGGCCAGTGAACCTGTGCAAAACTGAAAGGGGAGGAGCCATACAGCTGTGCAAGACTGAAGGGGAGGAGCTGGTACAACTATGCAAAACTGAAGGGGAGGAGCCGGTACACCTGTGCAAGACTGAAGGGGAGGAGCCGGTACACCTACGCAAGACTGGAGGGGAGGAGTCGGTACTCCTGTGCAAGACTGAAGGGGAGGAGCCGGTACACCTGTGCAAGACTGAAGGGGAGGAGCCGGTACTCCTGTGCAAGACTGAAGGGGAGGAGCCGGTACTCCTGTGCAAGACTGAAGGGGAGGAGCCGGTAGACCTGTGCAAGACTGAAGGGGAGGAGCCGGTAGACCTGTGCAAGACTGAAGGGGAGGAGACGTACACCTCTGCAAGACTGGAGGGGAGGAGCCAGTACACCTGTGCAAGATTGAAGGGGAGGAGCCGGTAGACCTGTGCAAGACTGAAGGGGAGGAGCCGGTACACCTGTACAAGACTGAAGGGGAGGAGCCGGTAGACCTGTGCAAGACTGAAGGGGAGGAGCCGGTAGACCTGTACAAGACTGAAGGGGAGGAGCCGGTACACCTGTACAAGACTGAAGGGGAGGAGCTGGCAGACCTGTACAAGACTGAAGGGGAGGAACAGGTACACCTGTGCAGGACTGAAGGGGAGGAGCTGGTACACCTGTACAAGACTGAAGGGGAGGAGCTGGTAGACCTGTACAAGACTGAAGGGGAGGAGCTGGTAGACCTGTGCAAGACTGAAGGGGAGGAGCTGGTAGACCTGTGCAAGACTGAAGGGGAGGAGACGGTAGACCTGCACAAGACTGAAGGGGAGGAGTGGGTAGACCTGTGCAAGACTGAAGGGGAGGAGCCGGTAGACCTGTGCAAGACTGAAGGGGAGGAGCCGGTAGACCTGTGCAAGACTGAAGGGGAGGGCGGAGGGAGAATTTAAGGCTAAACTCCAGACAGCCACACTCAGTAGAAATGAATGACTGGGAGCTGTCTTGTCAAAGGATTTGTAATTCTGTCCATCCAGTCCTGAGATCTATATAGCCCTGCCACACAGTACAGCCATCCTGCAGACCTAAGCTATTCTCTGCTGCAGCTAAGCAACACAGTCTGTGATTGGACAGTGAAGGTGCAGCAGCAGACTGATGTGTTCTGCCTCCTGCCCACTCTTCTCTCTCCTTGTTGGCTCATATAAAGGCACTGAACCTTATTGGTTCCTAGTGCTGCCCCTTCCTCTCCCAGTCTGTGCTCTGCTGTATACAATGAAGACAAAGTCTGCCTCATCTACTGCCGCTGATTAATAAATGATTTCATGAATATATATCTGTATGACTTGTCTTTGTTATATCTGTGCCTGGAGCTCAGTCCTCACACAGCAGATCTTCTCTGTGTCCATGGAGCGTGACGTTATATAATCCGTATCGGCGGCACATGACTGATCGCGCGGCGTGCCATGTGCTCGCATTACTAATAGAATTAGTCAGTGTGCGCGGTGTGTCTATGACATCATCAGCTTGTTTTGTTTTTCAGGTTTCATAATGACGGCACTGACAGCGCCCGCAGGGGAAGAATCCGACACTCATAGACAAGAAATGTTTTCTGTACGAGATCCGATCCAAGAGACGACCTCCAACTATGAGACACGACTGTCTTCTTCCACAAAAGTGTACAAAAAGAGAGCTGAAAGTAGCATTCCATATTAAATTCTACATATGTGTCTATCCTTCTGAGCAAGCCCTTGGGGGCGAAACGCGTCTGGGCCGTGTGGTATGTTCGTCTGGAGACAGAAGGTATGCATTCGCTTCGGTTTTCTTGCAATAAAACAATATAAGGAGTTTGGGATGGAGCACGACTCTCACCTTTATTTACGCTTTCGGCAACTTACAGGCTATAGAAGCCGGAACCCTGACAGCTCTTGAACAAAGAGGCGGTTTGGAGCGGTGCTGCAGATTTGGGTATGTGTCTACGTGGCCGTCTCTTTAGTTGATCCCCAATGTCCTATAGAAGGTCTGCAACTCATAAAAGACGAATTACATTATACTTGCCAACTGTCCTGGATTTGCCGGGACAGTCACAGTTTTTACTAGGCTGTCCCAGGCAGCATCCCAAAATCTGTACTGTGCCCTGCTGATTCCCCCTGTACTGAGCCCTCCTGATCCCAGTATTGTTCCATCCTGACTCCCCCTGTACTGTGCCCTCCTGATCCCAGTACTGTGCCCTCCTGACTCCCCCCTGTACTGTGCCCTGTTGATCCCAGTATTGTGCCCTTCTGACTCCCCCTGTACTGTGCCCTCTTGATCCCACCCAGTATTGTGCCCTCCTGATCCCAGTATTGTGCCCTCCTGACTCCCCCTATACTGTGCCCTCCTGATGGCCCCTGTACTGTGCCCTCCTGACTCCCCCCTGTACTGTGCCCTGTTGATCCCAGTATTGTGCCCTTCTGACTCCCCCTGTACTGTGCCCTCTTGATCCCACCCAGTATTGTGCCCTCCTGGTCCCAGTAGTGTGCCCTCCTGACTCTCCCCTGTACTGTGTCCTCTTGATCCCAGTATTGTGCCCTTCTGACTCCCCCTGTACTGTGCCCTCCTGATCCCAGTATTGTGCCCTCCTGACTCCCCCTGTACTGTGCCCTCCTGACTCCCCCTGTACTGTGCCCTCCTGATCCCCCCTGTACTGTGCCCTCCTGACTCCCCCCTGTACTGTGCCCTCCTGACTCCCCCCTGTACTGTGCCCTCCTGACTCCCCCCGTACTGTGCCCTCCTGATCCCCCCTGTACTGTGCCCTCCTGATCCCAGTACTGTGCCCTCCTGACTCCCCCCTGTACTGTGCCCTCCTGACTCCCCCTGTACTGTGCCCTCCTGACTCCCCCCTGTACTGTGCCCTCCTGCTCCCAGTATTGTGCCCTCCTGACTCCCCCTGTACTATGCCCTTTGTTATTTTAACTATTTTTACTTTTATTCTTGAGAGTAGATGCATAAATTGGGACAGGCTGGTAGGGGCCCCAGTGCATTACTAGGAGCCCATGATGCTATTAAGACAGCCCTGTCAGTACTAGACCTTAGAAATGGGCACAGATTCCCACAGATACTCCAAACTTTTGTGGAAAGCCTTCCCAGAGGAGTGGAGGAACTCAAGTATCCTGCGCCGAGCCCTGGCCTTAACCCTACTGAACACCTTTTCGATGAATTGGATTGTAAGTCGGGTAGTCTCATCCAACATCAGTACGTGACCTCACAAATATTCTTTTGAATGAGAGGTATTCTAGCCTTCCATTTTCATGACACCAGTCCTAGAGAGGTCATTTTCAGTTCCAACATTACTGTGCATAAAGCCAGCTCCATAAATACATGGTCTGACCAGTTTGGTGTGGAGGAATTGGAGTGTCCTGCATAGAGTCCTGACCTCAAACCCTACTGAACACCTTTGAGATGAGTTGGAACGTTGATGGTGAGCCAGGTCTTCTCATCCAAAATCAGTACCTGACCTCACAGTTTGGTTGACCAGGGTTCTAGCCTTCCATCCTCATTTCAACATTCTTGGAAATGCCCTTTTTAATTCCAACATGACTGTGGCCCTGTGTACAAAGCCAGTTTCATAAAGACATGGTTTGAACAGTTTGAAGTGGACCTCCTCCGGGGTCTGTCCCTCCAAACTTTGTGTGGAGGATCTCAAGTGTCCTGCACAGAGCCCTGTCTGCAACCTTACCGGACACCCTTGGGATGAACTGGAAAGGCTATTGTGAGCAAGGTCTTCTCATCCAGCATCAGTACCTGATCTCACAATTGCTCTTTTGGATGTGAGCTATTCTAGCCTTCTATCCTCATGGCATCATTCTTGGAAAGGTCCTTTTCAATTGCAACATAACTGTGGCCCTTGTACAAGGCCAGCTCCATAAAACATAGTTTGACTAGTTCGGTGTGGAGGAACTTGAGTATCCTGCACACAGCACTGAATTCAACCCTACAGAACGCCTATAGGATGAATTGGAATGCCAACTGTGAGCCAGATCTTCTCAACCAACATCAGTACCTGATCTCACAAATGCTCTTTTGGATGAGAGGTATTCTAGCCTTCCGTCCTCATGGTACCTGTCTTGGTAAGGTCCTTTTCAAATCTAAACATGGCTGTGTCTCTGTGTACAAAGCCAGCTTGATAAAAACATGGTTTGACCAGGTTGGTATGGACCTCCTCTGGGGTCTGTCCCTCCAAGTTTGGTGTGGAGGAACTCAAGTGTCCTGCACAGAGCCCTGACTGCAGCTTTACTGAACACCTTTGGGATGAATTGGAACACAGATTGTGAGCCATGTCTTCTCATCCAACATCAGTACCTGAAATCACAAAAGTTCTTTTGGATGTGAGGGGTTCTAGCCTTCTATCCTTGTTTCAACATTCTTGGAAAGGTCCTTTTCCATTCCAACATGACTGTTGCCCTGTGTACAATGCCAGTTTCTTAGAGACATGGTTTGACCAGTTTGGAGTGCAGGAACTCAAATGTCTGACTGCAACCCTACTGAATACCTTTGGAATGAATTGGAAATGCTATTGTGAGCCAGGTCTTCTCAGTCAGCATCAGTACCTGACCTCTCAAATGCTCTTTTGGATGGGAGGTATTCTAGCCTTCCATCTTCGTGGCAACATTCTTGGAAAGGTGCTTTTCAATTGCAACATACCTGTGCCCCTGTGTACAAAGCCAGCTCCATAAAGATGGTTTGACCAGTTTGGTGTGGAGGAACTTGAGCATCCTGCACAAAGCCCTAACTTCAACCCTACTGAGCACCTTTGGTATGAATGTGATAACCTATTGTGAGCCAGGTCTACTCCTCCAACATCAGCACCTAACCTCAGAAATGGGCACAGATTCCTGCACATACTCCAAAATCTTGTGGAAAGGTCCTTTTCCATTCCAACATGACTGTGGCTCTGTGTACAAAGCCAGTTTAATAAAGACATGGTTTGATCAGTTTGGTGTGGACCTCCTCTGGGGTCTGTCCCTCCAAACTTGGTGTGGAAGAGCTCAAGTGTTCTGCACAGAGCCCTGTCTGCCACCCTACTGAACACCCTTGGGATGAATTTGATAGACTATTGTGAGCCAAGTATTCTCCTCCAAGATCAGCCCCTAACCTCAGAAATGGGCACAGATTCACGCAGATACTCCAAAATGTTGTGGAAAGGCTTCCCAGAAGAGTGGAGGATGTTACAACCACAGTTTGGAGTGGAGGAACTTAAGTATCCTGCATATAGTCCTGACCCCAACCTTATTGAACAACTTTGGGATAAATTAGAATATTGATAGTAAGCAAGATCTTCTCATTCAACATTAGTACCGGACCTCATAAATGAGCACAAATTCCCATAGGCCCTTCCTACAAGAGTGGAGGATGTTGTAGCCTCAAAAGGTTGGCCAACTCCATATTAATGGCCATGTTTTGGAATGGGATGACCACTATGGTCAGGTGTCCATAAACCTTATTGCGTATTATCAGCGCAATCAAAAACTAATACAAGAGACGGATTCCAACATACGTTCCACATCTCTGCAAGGTTCTGGAGCCTTGCACCACTTCTAAAGGGCAAATTCTTGCTGGCTGAATCACCAGATGAAAACAGAAGAAAGCCGGAAAAAGGAAACATATTCAGCAATCACATCTCAGAAATGGTAAACTGCAATATAATGATAATCTTTGCTTTTGGATTT